CCCCCCAAAAAAAACCCCCCACATTTATTTAAAAGGAACATAACACGCAGAACACCCTTGTGGATTTTTAAATGTTCATTCTCTTAGAGGAGAAGAATATATCATCATTACCTGCCCCCATCCCTGTCTTTATGATCTTCCAGACAAGAACAAATGGACCTACTGACTGAAAAACTACTACGCATTCAAAGAATACCTTGCATTCAAAAGCTTACTTTATCCCAACCATGCAGGTGGTTCAACAGAAAATCCTTGTCTCTCTTAGAATATTCCAAAATACACACCAAAAGAATGTGTCTAAGTCATGTACATCCTCAAAATAACTGTTTGCTGGATATCTGATTGAAATTAAAATACTGCTTAAAGAGGAAGCTTCTTTCAAACACTACAGATAACATTTTCAAAATCAGTCTCTCATTTTCACTGCCTTTTGCAGATGGGGACTTTGTTTTCAGAAAAGATAAGCAACCATAACGTCAGATGAATGCAGAACACAAGAGTATCATAGAGTGAGATCTATGCTTAAAATGATTTTAGTGATTTTCTCCTAATTTTTCTGGTCTGTGACCGTAGTGGTTGTGAAATCGTGGTCTTTAATGCCATGGTTAAGTGGTCAGCATACAGCACCAGGGCCCTAGCACTTTAAAAGTTTGATGATATGAATGTGTCCAGAAGAAATATTAAAGGTTCACAGTGATCCACTAGTCCAGAAAATTTAGGATCGCATGGGTCTATTGTATTACCCAACTGAAATAAATTCCTTCAGAAACAACGGGTAAGATGAAAGGAATTGTTGAGCCCAAACCAATTCACTAGCTGTGACCCTTGGCTTTATATCCAAAACAAAGGAGGGCATCCTTTCCTGAAGAGCCAGGAGGAGTTGGGCAATGGCAGTTTGCTGGCTACAAGACAATCTGTCCTGCAATGAAGTGCACGTGAAGAGGCACTTTGTGACAATTTGTGCTGCTGCAAGTGTACACCTCTACATTTCTGAATGCAGCCCCTGAGCGTATATTTAGGTGACTAAAACAGATTCAAGAGATCAAGTTTGGGTGCTCATTTTAAAAGAAAATGATTGTACTGCTTTTAAAAACTTACAGCAACACATGTTAAACTATGTCCAGTGTACCCATTTATTCCTTAAATTACTAGACATGTGTTTTTCATCACCTGCTTTCCAATTTTAGCCCAGACTTTTCAGATTTAAAAATGGGAGATTCAGTAGCAATTACAGGGTAAAAGCATGGCTTTACAGGAAATTTTGCTAAAAAGGTGGATAGGTACATGCCTCATTTAAAACAAATCACTTTTTTCCAAATTATTTCTTTCTAGGGCACAAAGGTAATTTTCCCAACTAAAAAATATCCTTGGGATCTCAGAAGCACAGGCACACAGATGCACTCCATTTTATTTAATCACAGCTTCCGCTGAGGGGGACAATCTGCCTTGTACCAGCACCACCTTCTAATCAAGGCAAAACAAGCCATGTATTTCTGCTCATTACAAAATGACTCGTGAAGTATTTTATAAAAGCATATAATTAAAGGCAGAATAATGAGCTCAGAAATCGCAATAATCACCTTCAAATTTACTACCTAGAGAATCTTGGTGCCATGACAAAGTAAGGACACAGATAAATAGTGAAGAGAGCAGTCAACCCTGGTTCTAAGCAGTTATTTATTATTAATAAAACCTAATCCTGTATCTATTTATTTCAATACAAGTCTTATCGCTGATGTTAATATGAATTGGATCTGGACCTAGGAGCATGCAATAAAAAACAACAGACCAAAAAAGTTCCAGTTGTGTATATGTCTTCAAAGTATTCTACAATTTTATTTAAATACTGAGCTGCAATAGAAGTACTGTAGAGCTAAATAGTAGCATGTGTACAATGAAAGCATGTTCAATTTTTGCTAATTCAGTAATTCAAAGGAATTAGTTTGAGTATTAATCTTATATTAACAGCCAAAAAATAAACATCCTACCTGATATTTCTTTTCTCCTCTAATATTTTTGCAGAAATGCCTACTGATGTTATAGACTTACAGATACTACCTTGAGTACAATCCAAATCACATGCTGAGGCTCTCATTTTTAAAAATCAATTGAAGCTGTCCATTTTTAAAGTAAATAGACTGTTTTCACTTGCACTTTAATGTTCATATACATTTACATCAAAAAGGCTTGTTTTGTGTGTATGAGTGAACTGGTTACCTGTGAAACATTTGGGAGATTTTACCTGTCCAGCCAAGCCAGTAGACTTTTAGCCGCTCCTATCAGATCCACCACCGATGTCAGGAAATCATTTGGTAATTTTCTACTGGTTCTGCCATCATAGTGACCACTCCTCCTCCTTCCAGTTATGAAGTTCTGCAGATTCTTGGCAGATGCATTTAGCTTGTGAGAAAGAGTTTTTAGATTTTCCGTTTCCAAGCCATAATTCTGCATTCAAAAGAAAAAAGGGGGAAAAAAAAGAAAGTTACTTCTGCATCTCAACCGCAAATACTCAGAAACTGAAAAAAGGCTCTAATGCTTCCAGACATAGCCATTCCTAGTAATTAAGGTAGGAATACGCCTACTCTTTTTTTTTTTCTTTTTAAGTTCCTGGAATGTTCTGTTCCTACAGTACATACATAAAGAATAGAATTGAAGAAAAGCAACATTGTAATTGATCAGTTAAGTGGTTTTAAGTACAAAGTCTGTTAAATAAACCAACCCCAGCTACCACCGAGGGAAAAAAAAAATCACTACACTGAAAAGTAGTTTTGTAATAACAGTGCATCATTATTACTTAGCATATCCAAAGTTCGAGGGCCAGATTCTGATACCCTTAATGACAGAGTCTCACCACTTCTAAAGTGGACTCCATTAATTACAACAGCTAGGGACAAATATTCAAAAAGCCTGAGCCTGAATTGATTCAATCTTTACAGGTTAGTCTAACCTGATTAGGCTGAACTGGGTTGAAACTGGACAGACGTTCTCTCAGCACTGAGGAAATTCACGCACATGCCTTCAGCGGCTCAGGCTACAAGCCAGGGGTCGCTACACCAGCCCTCCCTTCCCCCTTCTATAGGGAGCGGAGCTGAGCTGAGCGGGGCATGGCCAGGTCTCAGCAGGACTCTCTCAGTAGGGAGGGTCTGTCTGCACAGTCCAAAGCTTTTCCGCCCTGGCTGCTCAAGGAGCAGGAGTGTTGCCAGGCCCCAGCCCTGAGCTAGCACTCTGAGGCAATGGGGGATGTGTAGTGTATGCATCTGCTGACAATACAGAGCTTTTCAATCACCCTCCCTGCTTCATCATACTGTCTGCAGCAAACTGAGAGGCAAGCAAGCCAGCAGTGTGGGGGTGGGGGGGGAAGGGGGGCTGAGAACAGTCTTTATCACCCAATCAGCAAAACAAATAGCCTCTCTCCATGTTACTTCAAACTTCTTAAACAGCTTACCAGCTGACCTATTGATTAGCTCCAAAAGCCCTAAGTGGTCACTGTTCTGTCTGCCTATCCCAATGATATTGGAGAGAAACACCTCTTGGTATTAACTAGCATACCACATGCTGGCTATGGGGTTCATGCTATGGCAGAGAGGAAGAAGGGATCTCTGCTTAAGCAGTGAGTGGTGAGAGGGGGAAGAGAGGGGGGCACAGGGAAGCCAGCAGACTCTGCTGGTGCCTGCAAGCCTGGCCCGAGCTCCAGCCAGGGAGCAGAGGGAAGGAGCCAGCCCTGCTGTGGAGCAGAGAGCCCCGCCCATCCAGAGAGCATGTTGGGATGCTGAGGGACTCTGATTCAACTTAAACCAGCAAGGGGTCTGGGGCAGACATTGCATAAACCGGTCTGAGCCAAATCAGTTAAGCCTGGTACTACATTCAACCAGGTAAATCTCAAACTGGTTTCAACCATTCTTAAACTGGTTTATGTGCACTGAACATCTGTTCTGTTACAGGTTTAAACCAGTTTCTGATCACACATTAAATCAGTTTATGTGTAATAGCTGTCCCTAGCCAATGGGACCACTTGCCTAGAGAAGCATGGCTCAAGGTAAGTTCACATGTCCGAAATGGACCTCACAAATACCAAATTAAGTCTGCAGACTTTTGAAGCATATTTATACTTCTCTGTGCTCCTTCTGTTGGCAGAACCAACAAAACCAGAGACAATGAGCACAACCTTACTCTGGCTGGGCAGAATTGTTAACTGTGTTGCACCTGTAAAAGTAAATTCTACACTCTGGCTCATTGTAACAAGCAGCCTCTTAAAGCATGCACCTTTACTATGCATCAGATATGCGCTGACCCTTCAAATATTATGCAACTATCCCTAAAAAAATACCATAAAGTGAAATATATTCTCAGGCCCTCACTAGCTGGGTAATCAATTATCACCATATAACACATCCTGCCATTTCTAAAGTAGCCTGCTTTCAGAAATAAATATTATAATGAAGAACCAAAGACACCTTGTTGTATGTTAACTGCATCCCAAATTATATAGTTTTCAAACAACGAGGGTGAGAGGGGATGGTTAAAACTTCTCTTAGACTAGGGACAGAAGTTGCACATAAACCAGTTTAAGAAATAAGAAACTGATTTAAACCTGTAACAGAACAGAAGCTCAGTGCACATAAACCAGGTTCAAACTGACTGAAACTGGTTTAAGATAAACTTGGTTGAATGTAGTACCAGACTTAACTGATTTGGGTCAAACCGGTTTAGGAAATTTCTGTCCCAGACCTCTTCCTGGTTCAACATAAATCAGAATCCCTTGGCATCCCAGCATGCTTTTCAGCCCTGGCCTGGGTTGTGCAGTCTGGTCCAGAGAGCAGGACTGGCCCCACCCCTCTGTTGCCTAGCTGGAGCAGTGAGGGCTGGCAGATAAAGGGCAGGGGAGGGGGGGAAGCCCAGTCTGCGGGGGGATCTGCCCCCCCACCCCAGACAAACCCTGGCTCAGGTCTGGGGCTAAGAAGGAAGGCTAAACACCCCTTCCCCTGCTCAAACATACTGCTGTCTACAACTGTGGACCACAAATCCCAGAGGCACCTGGAAGCAGGAAGAGGAAGTAACCCTGCAGAGTCCTGCTGCTGTAATTCTGGATTGCAAATCCTAGAGACCTCGGGGGCAGCGGGAAGTGAACACACAGGCAGAAAGCCCTGCTTTAGCACCCCCTGGCTTCTGTCCTGAGCCACAGCAGACATGTGGCTGCATTTCCTGAATCAAAAGTAAATGCCTGTTCACTTCTGTTTCAATTTAATCTGTGCAGTTTGAACTAACCTGCAAAGACTGAATTGATTCAGCCTCAGGCTTTTTGACTGTCTGTTCCTAGCCTTGAGGTTAATTCAGAAACTTACATTATTGAAATATATAGGTTTTGTTTAGTGTTCACACAGTTCATTCGGGTGATTACAAAAAAAGAAAATGAGCTCCTATTTGCTGTTGATCAACAGGGACTTGCAAAGGCAATTTTCTATTAGATACAGCTTACAGAATGATCAAACAGGACACAGATGAGTCCAGACTAAGTTCACATTCCTCATTCAGGCATTTCCTGACCACACACATATTCTTACCTCTTCTACCAATATCTGTTCTCTGTTCCACCCTGCACTTCTGGCTGATAATATAGTCTCTGCTCCTGGGAAGGTACTAAGACATGCAAGAAAAGAGTAATATATAATGGCTGGTATGTGTCCTAATCCTAACCAAAGCCTCTGTTTACTTGCAAACCAAACACATCTGATAAAGAATCAGCAGGAACAGAAACATTACCTTCATACAGGAGAACCGCACTTCGGAACTCAAATGAAATCATGCAGAAGGACTTGAATTACAAATTTAAGATAAAGCACATTTTTTATATATATATATATGATAATAACTACTTGCTCTGGAGTACTGAATATCATCTCATATTTGTAAGTCTGTAGCCTAATCTGTCTCAAGTACTATAGGGGAAAAAATGAAAGCTACTCTCAGCTAAGATCTAGAATTTTGTAAAAACCAATCTGACTTGAACAATGCTAGAGAAGGGGGGAAAATCATGCTTATGCTAGAATGCTATGGTCCTAAAACTGGAAGAACTAGTACATCCCAAAGAAACTGTTAATACCATGGATTTTTTTTAATCTACAGAAAGCTTTTGTACTTAATTTAGATGCTGTCAAAAAATCAAATATGATTATCAAATAACATTTCTGTTTTCTGCAAACTAAATAATGTACATTTAAATTCTCTTAGCAGATCGTCAGACGGTACACATCTCAGCTTTTCCAAATCCTTTGTTTTAGGGCTGGCTTTAAATTAGAACTTGCCCCATAAGTCTGACCATGAATAAAAATCTCTTATGCTGTAGTTACCCTCAGTCCATGTGCTAAAAACTCTAAAGGGCAGTCATGCCCACTACATAGAGAGACTATCAGCTCCATGATCTCTAGCATTATGCCTCTCCATATAGGTCAAAACCAACAGATTTTACGTACCTACTAGACTGAAAGATTTTATTTTCCATTCACCAGCACACAGCAGCACCTAAGAATTTCTCTTCCACTATACTACATATCAGTGTCTAGGATTATTTTCCCTAAAATGCACTTCAAATCTTGCTGAAATTCAAACCTTGTTTTGCTGATTTTGTTCTCTCTTTAATTTCTTACATCCATTTATATGTAAGTGAAGATCAATATGATTAATTATACTCTAAAGATGCAGACAATGTCTTTTTCACCTTTTCTTCTAGAATGCTAGATCTTTAATGCTGCACTGTTCAAAAGTTATTTTTAACATCCAAAACTGACTCAGCATTTGAGGGCTAGAAAAAACTAAGCAAAACATTTTTTTTAAAAAGTAACCTAAATCAAAATATTCTTTATATTATTTAAATGGCGTTCTCATAATTAAATTTAGAAACCAAAGACATACCCAAATCCTGTTTTTGAATTGAGGGGAAGGGGCTGGGCATAATGGGGGGAGAGAGGAGAAACATGGATGACAGAGGTGGAGGAAGGAATGAAGTTACTTAAACAGCATGGGCAAAGGGGTATATATCTGCATACAAAAGTAATTAGGAAAGTAGCTCTATGAAAGCTTATTGGCCCTGAATTAAGATTTCACTTATTTAAAGACAGTCTTTCTCTCTCTCTCCCTTTCAGATGCACATTTTCATTGCTATATGTGGGGAGAGGAAAACTGATGGCAAAAGTTACAACATCTATAGTTCCTATACAGCCATCATCTGTTACACTTTTTTCACCAAGTAAACTCAGGCACACTTGCAAACATCTGAAATAAATCAAATTTAGCAAAATTTTGTGCTGAAAATTATTAACAAAACCCCCACCCAAAACAGTTATATCAAGGGATGTGATCATAGCTTTATTAGGCTTTAACCAGAGTAACTTTTGGCACTGCTTTGTTTATTAAAATCCTTGAGAAGAAGGATCCTAATACAATGCCTA